TAAGTACAAATGTCTGTTTGTTTAGTAAAGAAGACATTTATTACAATTTTTAAAATAAAGCAGTTATTGTCAGATTTCATTACACAGTATTATCTCAAGAACATAATATTGCATTATACTGTATGTTATTTTTATTGCATTGTTTTATTACATATAGTACATACTGTAGACTGATATTGTTATGTATTATTAGAATCAGTGGTTGAATCATGTCTTATACTGTAGAACTTATATAAAGGCCTTGTTATTCCATTTCACACTTTGAAACAAATACAAGGAGCTTTTTAGCTGAGAATCTCAGCTCTCCTTACATGACTCAGAAGATGGGAAACATAGGTAAATGATCCAGGGATAAAGAAAATGTGGAAAAGCCTGTAATAAAAGGATGATGATGAATTATCATTCTCGATGGGTGGCATTCACTCATTATATAGCTTGCCTTTTTATTTAAGCCTTGTGAGACATAGAAGAAATACCATTTGGAACTCTCCAGCTCGGTAAAGCAGGCTGTTCTTCAATTATACAATGCACTTGTAACACCTCATTTAGAATTTTGTTCATAATTCTGGTTGCCACATTACAAAAAATATTTCTGCTTTGTAACCAGCCCTGTAATTTCAGTTTAGAACTGAAATTTTCTGTAGAGTTCTATAAAATTCTGTAGAATTTTAAAGTTCTACAGTAGAACTGAAATTGCAAAGAACTGTAATTTCAGTTAAGAATTGACATTTTCCCCATCTTGAACAAAAAAGATAATGAGCAGAGTGGTACAGTATGGTACAGTATGGTCTTTTCTCTCATCTGTTCAGTATAGTTTTGTGTCTGTGTAGAGTTCATGTGTACATATTGTTACAAATGGGGGGTTACAAAACTGGTGAAAATCAGGAATTTACGGAGTGGTTTTAGTCAATCAGTGAAATGATTATTCAAAACCCCCAACTTGTATGTGATTTCTAACGATATACAGAATTTTGCTTTTGTGAAATGATGGTTTAACAGTATGAAGTATTAAGGTTATCAGTTTATGCACCCAGTGTTTCTTATCCAGTTTCTGGAATGTAAAACATTTATTTTTTAGAATTTCTGTAGTGTACACTAAGTTGCTATAGAATTAGACACTGATTTTTAATTCAGTATTGGATAAGCCTTCTATAATTATGTTGCATCCTTGTCACTTTTTTCTAATTCTAAATGCTTCAAAATATTTCCAAACATTTTAAACGTAATCCTTGGTGACTGAAATATAAATGTTATACAAATTGTCCTTTCATATACTGTACAGTAGATGGAACATTTTCTATTTTGCATCTACATGAAAGAACATTTTTTTACCACCACAGATATACTTACAGTCCTTCTTTCTGATTGTGCCCAATTTCTGCACTTGTTTGATTTGGTTCCAAGAATCTCTGACATTAAATGCTGGAGTTTTTTTTTTTACTTCAGAATGTGGCTTTTTATTGTTTAAATGGTTTCTCTGCATATTTGATAAAATTACACTCATTCTTTATATGCGGGTACAGCATTCATTGAGTCTATAGTACTGCTTTTGTTTCTGAGCTGAACAAAAACTCAATGAGCAGTCTAATTTGCATATTTGCATTCTGTAAATATTTAAAAAATGGATATGTGCAGGTGCCAGTGTTTAGGATTTCATGCTGTGATTACTAGGGAAGAACAAAGATAGCCATTTGTTGGTTGCTGTTGTGAATTATTTTGTTGCATTTCAGTATAGGACAATTTATAGATCTCAGAAAACTGAGGACAAAGTATCTATGAGAAAGCCAGGTGAAGATAAGGTCAAGTGAAATGCTTTGATTAAAAAAAATCATATTTTCACTGGTGATAGATTGTACAGTATTTCACACCTCAGCCAAGCCCTTTTGACTTGGTCCATCTTCAGTTCTTCGTTTTATCTTCATTTATGCTGAATAAAACCAAAGGGACTCTTGAGTTATGATTAACATTGATAACAGTGACATTGAAAGTTGCTTCTGTGAAATGATAGTTTAACAGTATTAAATATTAAGGTTACCAGTTTATGCACCCAGTGTTATATTAATCCTGGAATTAATCCTGGAATGTAAAACGTATAGTCTCAGAATCTGGCAATGCTGATATTTCTAGTTACACTGACCCAGAGTATGTCAAAACCTTGAACCATTTGCCAGTGACTAATTGCAAATTCAAAAATTCATATCAACTTCGTCTTGGATAAGCCTGTGTTAATCAGGAATATGCTATCACATGGTGTATCTTAGAAAGGTTACAACTAAGGGGAGTCCTTAAGGGTCCCTCTTGAATGTATGGTTGGTAGTAACTTATTTATTTGAGAATCAATAACATAGGATTGATCCTCGCCAGGCTTTTCCCTGCTTCAAAAATATAGCTGAGTAACTCAGAATCCTGGGCCACAACATTTTGGAAGAGTGTTCCTGTTTTATTAATATACATTTTGCAGCTGTCTGGTTTGAAACTCTGATCTATTGTAGGCCTTTATAAGCTTTGATATACTGTACTTTAGCTTCAGAAATCAGACTCAACAATGGCTTTTCTTGCATGGATATGAGGTAAAAATTCCAAGGCAGTGGGTATTAAGGGAGTTGTGACATTAAGTTAAACTGCCACCTACACTGATCACAGGCTTTCTGTATTTCATGTGTCACAATATGTTTTGACAACACTGTTTTTCCATATAATTACAAATAAACAACTTTGCGCAAAACAAACATTTACTTGACCACTAATCTTGTAACTTTATATATATATAACATTACTTTATTAACCCTTTACAATTTCTTGCATTAGGAATTATCTTTTCGCATATTACCCATATTAATTGTCATATTTGCAAAAAGCCTGGGAGACCATCATAAATTCAGAGCATTACTCTGTTACTCTGTTACATGTGAAATACTTTGTAATTTCTGAAACATGCACTGAAAAGTATGTACAGCATAAAGAAGGTGCTATCTGAAATAGCTTAAATATAGATACACTGCTTACTTTGTGCAAATCCAGTATAGATGTACAATAGATCTTTTGAAAGTAAATGTAAATAATTCATCCTTTTATTAATGACTAAATGAGAACTCACATGAAGTGTTTATGATATGGTGAAGTGTTGAAGAAAGATGTATTAAAATAATAAAAAAAAACTTGGAAAAGATTACAGCATAGCAGAAAACAAGGAACATCTGCTGCCTATTCCACTTCTCATCTGTTAGTAAAATCTCGCCAAGGATGTTCAGTCTGCTTCACTTTCATGGGAGATTCACTAGAAAAAATATGGTGAAAATTCTTAATAGAAGGATGTGTTATTATTGGCATAAAAATTTTAATATAAGTTTGTGTCACAGACATTTTAGTGGGAAACATTAGTCTTTAGTGAAGATTTTTTTTTATCTTAAGTAAAAATAAAGCATGCAGAAATGCCATCTTTTGTACACAAATACAATTGGATAATTGCATTTCATTCCAGAAATCTATAAACAATGAATCAAGCTCTCTTTGGAATGTTATTTGGCATTCGGTTCCCAAGATTTTGTTCATCTATGTATAAGGAGAATGCTAAAAATGTAATAAAATATGCAAAATCGACATTTTGCATATTAATGATTTATAGGTGGTTTTCTAATTTAGAGGGCTGTTCCATGATTGACCTCATTCTAGAGTCTGTTAAAACACGAGTGTAAGTGTATTCACATTCACAAAGAAGCATGTTTTCTTGTTCTGCAAGAATTAACAATAAAGATTTATGATTTATGACACTTGAATAAAGTTTTTTAAATTCTGAAAATAATTCAAATGAATAATTCATAACAGCAGTTAATCCATCCAGCAAAACACAGTAAAAGGGATACTTGATAGAAGGAGATTTAAAACTGAAACAATTATAGCAATTTTTGTAGTAGTGTAATGAATATATGGAGTACAGTGTCCTCTAATTCATTGGGGTCTTTCAAGTAACCAATTAGATACTCTGTCAGGGTGACTTTAATTACTGTATGCGGGGTAGCTGTGATTGCCCAGTGTTATTGTTCTCAGTTTAGACAGTTATTAAATACAGCTGTAAAAATAGTACAACTGTGTTATTACTATTATTATTGTTATTATGCCCCCTTTCATACCAAATGTTTTTTTCCAGCTGCTGCTTAAGTCCTTGAATATGTTTTAAAATATCTAATTAATGTAATGATTTAAACAGCTTGCCTTTCACATCTGAATGCAATGTTCATTTCTGTCTACCATTGAAACCCCATTGTGAATAGAGGAAAGAAAAAAGAACTCAAGGGTAGCACACCAATTAACTGCCTTTCAAGGCCCTTTCCAGCTTCACAGAATACTTTCTATTCTTTTCAGAAATCAATGTCATGTAAGTGGGTGTTATACCTCTTGCAATTTAATGTAAAGGTTCAGAGCACTCTGCTTGTATGTGCATTATTTATCAGAAAAATAGTGCAAGAGACTAAGCTTTCTCAGCTACTGCAGCATATTATAAAAAAAACAAGGAAAATAATAATCTCTTCATAGTAGTCTCTAAGCAAATATGCACCCCTTCAGTCATGGAACCTTAGACACACAATATTAAGTGCTTAGATGCTGTAAAAAATGAAACTTTAGTTTTTTCTACATTGGTCAAGCTTGGCTATCTTGGAATATTAATTGTATTGTGACAAGTTTACTCAGAGATGCAGTATCGATAATGTTAATGAACAGCTTCCCCTGTACTTTATATTATCTATCTCAGACTTTGACTTTGACCTTAAAAACAAAACCAAGAGAGAGTTTTTCCTTGCAGGGCTGATTTTGTTTGCTGTTTCTATATGTTTGACCTATTTTTCCTTTTTTCTTAAATCTTTTGCTGGGAGCCGGGTTCTGGTCTTCTGACAAGAGGACAGGAGCTTGGATTTAATCTTGTGTTCATCCTTCGTGCTGCTTTTCCATCATTCACATTTCAATGGTGAGAACGTGTTTAATTGTTCTCTTTAATCTTGCAGAAACTACATGGGAACGACCATCCAGCACTCCTGGCACTCCAAAAAGCCCACTGTCACAGAAGAACTCTGTACCTGCAGGTATGACCAAGTATGGCTGTGTACGTAATCATTTTAGGCAGGTGTGGCTGTGTACTTAATCATTTTATTTACTTGTTCCTCTGCTTTTTGAACTCAGAATATCTATGCCTATGGAAAAGGATTCAGTAAAAGAAAGATTCATTAAAAGAAGTTATGTTGTCAAATACCATCACTTCAACACAGCCCTCTTCCTCTGATTAACCTAGTGTGTAGATTTTTGTAAAGCAGTGGCCCCCACATTGGTACTGGAGTCCTTTGTCACTCAGAATATTTAAGCGTTATCAGGATTAGTACAATTCAGTGTAATGAAATCCAGAAGATCCCTTAGCCGTTTTCCAAGGGCTTTCTTGACAGATTCTTGAGTTTATCTAAAACCATAAAAAGTACAATTCTGAGGAGGCCATTCCGTCTATCTAGCCTGTTTCATTGGTAGAGGTTTAGGAGTGCATTCAGCCAGTAAAAATGTGGCTCCTGTTGGTTAGACTTAAATATATTTTCTTCTAGAGTCCCAGGGAAAAAATTGTGTTGTTTTGATCATGTTTCCCTGTTACTATAACTTTTTTATTGAAGGAGAAGATTATTTTCATGTCCAGTCTCAAATCCTTGGAAACATTCCTTACTGAGGAAAAAAAGGCATTAGGAGTGTCCAAGGCATCAGCACATAGCCCATTGCAGGATAACCACTATGACTTCACATATTCAGTGGTCTATGATGAGAATAGCTATTCTTCAGCAGTGTGACAGTGTCTCAGAGGGAGGAGATTCTTGGTGTGTCCTTCTTTGAAGGTCTCAGATGAGGGCAGATTGGTTGAACTGATAATGTTCCTGCTTCTGGGCTCTTTTCCCCCATGACAGCATAGCTGGGAATTCCACACAGACAGTGGGATTTCCTGCTTCTTATTTTAGCCAGTTGAATACTGTTTAAAACATATATCTGTAAAGGGAGTATATTTTGTTCTGTCCTAAATCTATTTTTGTAGCTTTATAGTAGTATAAATGAAAAATCTGTGACCTCCAATGAACAAAAAATTTTAGTTTCCTGTATATGTTGGACCTCTGTTTTGGGAGTTCTCTTTGAGATACATTTTCAGATCTTTATGAATTGATGTCCATGTAAAGACACAAAAGGTGACTCATTGTAGTATAATGTACATTTCCATTTCTCCCTCCATGGCTACTGTGCCGTTCAGTGTACCGTGATGGTAATAAATCACTGTTTCATTTTTTTTCATTTCTTTGACAGTTTTTATAATCATGGACTTAACATAAAGTATATCCTTACACTGCGAACTACTGAATTTATATTTCTGCTGTTTATTTTTATCATGGAATACCTTTATAAAACAAAGGTACCCCCACCTTTCGTCTACTTCTGACATAGAATGTCCACCAGCATTTCTTAGTATTCAAAACCAGTTATTCTCTCTTTTCAAATGAACTAGGGGTGAGATTTGGCTGGTAGACGAGAGTTATTATGATGGCTGCCAACTTGCTTTATTTGAAAAGATAATGGGATTTATCATTACCCTGATATTGCTATGCATGCTACTCTCCATCCAGGATCTTGAAAAAGAAATTAGATGGTATCCCATGGGAATTCTGGCATGCAAAAAGAGGACTGCTGCAGAAATATGTTGAAGTTCTCTGTAAAGTCAGAGCAGATAGTGTTATTTATTCATTTTTACTTCATATGTCTCTAATAAAATAAAAACTGAAAATGTACTTTAGAGATCATCAGTTCTCATTTCAGCTCACAGAGAAGATGGAAGACGGTAAATATTCTTTACAGTGGGAAAACATTAGCATCTGAAATATTTTTAATGATAAAATAATAAGGGAAGACACAGATAGCACATTTTTAATAACAATAGGGGAGGAATTGCAACAGAACTAATCACTCTAGAAAATATGCAGTGTATATTATTAATATCCAAGTACTAAAACAGAAAATATTTGATTCCATTTTCCAGTGTCGTTTTGGTAAATTGGTGGTAAAGAAAACTAGTTTTCTCTAACTAAAGATTGACCAAACTGAATTTTGAAGATTTGATTTCATGTCTCCAAAAAATAATAATCAGAAAACTAATTTCTAAATCAGAGTTCCAAACACACTGCCACTATTGTTGCTTCATTATCATCATCATTGTTAATTTTATTACTGTTAGAAGCATAGTCAGTGATGTTGGATATTTTTTAACTGTTTTAGAACGGAATGAAGCAACTCTTAAATGCACTTTTGGTAGGTTGTAGTTATAAAAAAATGCATCTTTACTGATTTCCTTGTGTTTAAATAATTGTATTCTACATCCATTCATGAGGCAAAGGAACCTTTAAAGGTAAATTGGCAGACTCAGTGCTTCACATTAATTTTGCTGATTTATTATGCGTCTAATTTACTAACGTATTTTTGTAATACACAATGAATACTGTATATGCAAAAATGAAAAACATTTTGGGAAGCGTTCATATGGAAATGCATACTGAATGGATGACCCTGATTACTTGGATGTTTTGAATCTTATGCTGAATATGATATAAATATTTATAACTTTTGATATTGAAATGTGTGCCAGTGAAAACTCAACAGCTTTCATTTTCATTTTTGCCTAGGGATTTCTCCATAGGAAAATTCTTTTTAAAATAATTTTAAAAGGCCTTTTTAAAAGGCCTAAATTATCCAAATAAGCTAAGAGTTTACAGTGCTTACTTAATGCAATAATATGATGCTAAGCTTTCTAAGAGTGTGGCTATCTCGAACAGCTAAAGATTTTTCCAAGTCCAGTTCAAGAAAAATATATTTTTCTTAACTTTCCTTCAGGCCTTGTTTGAATGTAGGGCGGTGATTAGTATTGCTGCCTTGCAGTGCTGGGACTATTGGTTCAATTCTGGAACACATAAGAGATTATGCATGTAAGAAACAAAGTACTAGAAACTAGATTTAAATACTATATATAAAGTATATGCAATAATGAGCAATAACACACTCAAGCATTAAAAATTTAGATGGCTGGAAATAACTTGTCAATGTTAATACCACCCTCCCTAATTGAAAATGCCTTTCTCTAGTAACACATTTTTATGATGATTCTGTTGGTCTGCAACCTTTACTCATTATAACTGGTTGGTTAAGAGTTGGGATTATGGCAACACGTCTTATTCAACCGTGCTTCAAGAATAAAAAAAACGTTTATCACATGGCACACTGGGTCAGATACTAAGCATAATATTTAAGTTTTGTTTGCTCAAGCTGTGATGCCAAAGAGCATTGGTCATTACAGCAATACTACCTCTCTCTAGCTTCCCACTGAGGCTTATATGCCATTTTAGGTTTCCTATTTATACTTTTCAGCAGCTTCCATTACAGAGTGGCCATCCCAAGCCCCTGCCATTTATCTTTTCAGTGTTCTTTTCATTTTTTATCCTTTGCAGTTAATGGATACCACACAACGGGAAGTCCCATCCACCAGTTAGATCAGCCACATGTGTCATTAAGGAAAGGCAGCAGTGACCAACAGGTAGGATGATCAAAGTGCTTAATGAGGAACATTCTGCTACTATTCATGTGGCAGAGTGTTCTAGGTGCTTTGCTTCTATTTCAAAAGAGTAAACTACAATGTACTTTAATGCTGTCCTAAATACTATATACTGCTGCTTTCTGTCTACTGTATGTTATATTTTGTTGTACTTTTAGCTTCCTAAAAAACTACTGAAGTGTATTTACTGTAACTGCATCTATAAGCACAATTTGGTTCTTTCCATTTTGTTTTCTTTTTTTAAAGTTGTTTAAGTAGTTGTCTGCTATATATATAACGGCATGCATTCACGATAATTAATAGCCTTATACAGTATATTTATACCTCATACCTTTTGTTAAGTCACTGACATTGACATAAAGTGGCAATAAAATGCAAATCTCATTTTGTTTCTCTTACAAATCAAGCACACTATAGGAAAGATTAAAATCTGGCATCCTTTTTGTCTATCATAGTTAAAAGATATTTTAACATGATTCTGGATTATGTGGTATTAGCACTACTCTGTCTTGATGGCAGTGTTTAGAACGTTTTCATCACTGATGTTCCAATTTAAACTAAAGTGATCTCCACTGTATAAGGTCAGTTCTACTGATTATGTAGTTGACCTTTAAATAAAAAGGCATGTTGTTTTGTGTTTTTCTTCATTTTTACCATCTCTCATTTTCTCATCTACTGTTTAGTTCAGGGCCTTTACCAAGGAAAATTTCAGGGCTGTTTCTTCTTTGTTACTATGTACTAGTATACTATGTTCCATTGCAGAACTGCCTGCCAATTACATTTAAAATGAAATGTGAGGAGCTCTGGCTTCCATTTACTGTATATAGAGAATTATATCAAAACAAGGTAATATGAAGTATAAGAGCAGTTTATTACAAGATTAGCATTACTGTATATTTATTTTCAAACCTTTTTCATCACTATAATTACAGTTAAATAAGTTAGTTAACTGATATAATGCTTGTAATTCAGGCAACATTTGATTCTGAATTACCATGGATCACATGCACAGCACTCCAAACAGGCTCTAGAGTAATGTCACCATTAAAGGTGAAAGATAATAACATGCCTGGAGCTGTCCTTGGAGATAAACCCCCACCCGATTTGGGAAGCAAATCATATGATGTAACCGAGGAGCTGTTTTCAAGAGATTTGCTATCCTTTGCAAAAGCAGACAAATGCATTCTCTTCCAGTGCTCTATCTTGGTTTCAAATCATAATTAATGTAGGAGTAATCACAGGCAGTTACATACACAGAACCCTGCCTAGATTGCTTAGGTTTTCCTTTTTTTTCCAGAGGGAAAGGAGGTGTGGTAAATGCCGTGGAGATAAATCCTTCTTGCCTAATACAGCCCATGTATTGCTTCAGTGGGCACAGTATGGATGCCTGGGGATGCAGAAGGCTTCTCTGCCACTGTTTTGCTTTTGATTACCTAAGGACATGGTGACAGCTTAACTGAAGTCAACCTTATCACACGACTACAACTGAACCTGACTGAGCTACAGAGACATTGCTGCTGAGAATAAACAACAGCAGCAGCAACAACAGCACCCATCACTCCCTACAACGTACTAAAAATGTCTGATACAGAGGGCAGCTTTGACGATGCCTCTTGTCTCTCTTCACAGAGCCCGGGGTCCATTTCGCCCACAAGGAAACAGAACAAGGAAACCACAATCACCGTGAGTACCGAAAACTAACACTCAAGCGAAAACTGCTGTGTCAAAGCATACAAGAAAACTATTAAAGTGACCAGCATGTTCTCCTGGACAAGACTGGGAATTTTTGTATCCATTTAGTTCTCATCAGGTTGATAAGATGAACATAAAACAGTAACCAGGTGAACAGGAATGTGATAAATGAAGCATTGGCAGGTTGTACTGGCTTTTATACTGCTTTTATTTTTTTGTTTCACACCCTGCTTTTCAAATCAACAGTAACAGGACAGATAATTGTGAATTGTCAGTGTGTTTGGCTTTCACTTGTGCTTTTCAGCCTGCTTTGTTATGGTGCTTCTCTCCGATTCAGTAGTATGGTCTCTCAGTGAACAGATTGCAGGAAAAGACACTAGATATTACATACTGTAACTGCATTAAATAATACAACAATGATTTTGTAATAATAATTACAAAAATTATCAACAATGTTACAGTTTTTAACAGGGAATTAGTAAATTGTGAATATACCAATTGTTTATATGATTTAGAAACTGTGATATTAACATAACAATAAGGACCTTTGGCATGTGACATGATTTGCTTTCTTGAAATCTGTGTGCATGTTCTTGCTTCCAAGGCACATCTCTTAAAAGTAAGTCAGATTTTTCACTACTACTGTGAGATCAGAGACCTTGGCTAAGGTAATGAGGGAAGACACAGTATTCATAGTTTCCATGGTAACAAAGCAATAGTATTGATTAATGGCTATTGAACAAAGACAAAAATCCAGAAGTTGTTCTTGGAAATATTGTGCCAAACTGGAAAATATTATTGCAGTGATGAATATTTCAGAGAGAAAAATGAAGTTATCTCAGAGGGAAGAATATTACTAAACCAGTATTATTTCTTTGTTAGTAAAAATAGCTGCTTTAGAATGATATACAATCCAGTACAGATGATTTTAAATACCTGGGGTGCAGACATCAAAATGAAAAAGCCCTTATTTTTTCTGAATTCCTGATTTAAGCAAGAGTCATATTTCATAGGTTACTAAACATAGGCTAAGAAGTTATGTTGTCAGTGTTTATTGGTATTGGTATTGGCTGTTTTTGCATTTTGCACTTTGTTAGATAGTCAAGGCAGGCAGTGGTGTCTGATTATATTCTTTCAGTTATTTTATCTATCCCTCAATTTGGAATACTTAGTATTCAATTTATCCTTCACTTCAAAACCCATCTCCACTCTTTGTACCTTGGGGGATAAATATGCATGTATTGTATGTTTGAACCTGGACTCCAAGTATCGAGGCTTTGAGGCAACCTGAGAAGAGACTTACAGTACGAAATAACCAAACAGATGCCTGGCCAAAACTACAGTCACTTGTGTTTGGCAGTCCATCACATCCAACTCTGGAAGTTTACATTTGGTTTTGATCTCCTCACACCCATTTCCTGCTAGGAGTTAATCACAACTACTGTAGCATAGAGTCTTGAAAATCGCTTGAAATCTCTTGAAATCACTGACTTCCAGGTTTAAAAACCTTATGCAGTATATGCAAACCTCAAATCAAAACATAGGTGCTTTCTTAATTCACCATTCCTGATCCTCAGTTTTCTTTAACCTTCATTGTATATGTGGTGAAAGGAACACAAAGACAATTTTCAGTCAATAGAGGACATGACAGTGTTTGAATAAACTATTCTCTCATTTAAGGTAAATTGACTGTGAACATAGATTAAATGAAGACAATGAATCAATATTTTGAAACAGTAGAAAACTTGATACCTTTGATGATTATGTTTACAGATTCCAAAAGAGGAAGGGCATTCTCTCTTAAGAGTTTGTTAATGTTTCAGAAAAATCTGGTATCTATTCTTTTAAGAATTTCATAATTGGGCAATAGTTTATAGTACAATAAGTGGCTGTACATGTTTAATTAATGGGGATTAGGGTTGTTTATTTATATTCCACACAAAACAGTGTGACATAAAGTGCTTTTTATAATAACTTGTTATTTTCTTTTTACCTCATATGTAATCACTTTAAAAACTGATATTTTAAAGTGTTACCAAAAATACTTATATTTGGCACATCTCTCATCTCAAATCAGGTACAGCTGAAAACATTTAATCAAGTTTGATCAGTGCCAAATTTAAAGTTACATACATTTGCAGATACAAAGGTACTTTAAACCTCCTTTTCAGATATGAAACCTAAGGTACACTTGTACAGGGATTCATAATTAATGAATGAATTATTATGTCGCTGGAAAGTCAACTATCTTATTCTTACTATAAACCATTACAACTCTGTTGTGAATATTCTAAAAATAATCTTGACCAGTGAAAACATTAGGACATGCTGTCAATACTCATTTTTACAATGCTGCTCAGAACTGTGCCTTTGAGATTGCATGCAGCAAAGGTCTTATAAAGAATCTAGTGCAGTTAATAATAATGAGGCTTTTTTAACTTTTAAACAGACATCCTATTGTAAAACATTTTGGAGTGTTTGTCACCCTTGTATTTATTAGGTGCATTTTTAGTTTTGATGGAAGCAGCAATTACATTGCATAACACAGAATGTTTACTATTGTTTGGAACAAATGAGCAAACAATGTGATTTATTTCTTTGTGATATAGATCACAATAGATCATACAGTGTCTATATTCATATCAAGTCCTCAGTCTGCAATCCAGCCTTTTAATATACATCTTTATAATTCATAAATGGTTTTATACCTTGAAGAAGGGCTGGTTTAATCCAATAAAGGCTTGAGGTGACCCAACTATCCTTTCTTCATAGTTCTTAATGATTTATTTAAAACTACTGTATTCTAGCCAGAAGCTGATTAGCCCTGGTCTGCAGTGTTATTTATCAGAACACAGTCTAGTTAAAAGCTGTATCTTCGTAACTTTCTCTGTCTAAAGCCTAACTACTAGCAGGGAATGAGGTTAAAACACAATTATACAATATATATATATTGTAAGCAAAACATAACTGGTTTTCACCTCAAAATATTTAATTTCAGTAACAGAAGTTGCCTCAGTTTTCTGTATATTGCATAAGGTTGTCTGACCTGTCAAGAATCTCTTAAAGGTAAACAGGGGTTTTCAAAGCCTTTTGCTCCAAAGCAGAATATAATTTTCTGAATTTGTGCAATTGCAAAGATGACAATCACATGTGAGATAAAAGAGGAGTGAAAAGCAAAATAGTATGTTGTTTTCTTATTGTGTTATACATATCACACCTTATTTTTATAGAGAAGAGAACAAAGTGCTTTGAGTGAGTTCCTATGTTTGAATAAATTACACTGCTCATCGAACCAGAATGTAACTAAATATAAAATAAGTAATATGGCATAGTAATATGAGTAATAGAAGTAATTAGGTAGATGCATATTTCAGTAGTAATAATTAATTATAATGACTACATGTACTGTATATATATAACCCTATATATATATATCCCTAACCCTAACCCTATCACTGTCATCAACAGCACATCAGTATTTTAAAGAGACAAAGGATATCTTTATTGTTAATGGTATTTGAATACTAATCTTGAATTTGTTTATTTCTCTTTTCATTTTTGTTTTAAACTTAATTGCAATTTGCCCATCATATGAAAAATGTAAGACAGTTGAACTATATATCACTGAGTTGAATAAACTATAGGGATTTTTATATAGCTACTAGGAATTTATTCAGAGAAACTACAGTGTGGAGAATACTTCATTCACGTATTCATTCATTCTTAATACTGGTTATTCAATACACAATTGATGAGGCAGTGTTTTTTTAAACAATTTTCTGATGATGATATATTCATATAAAATTATATTAATATAAAAAAGAGTAATATATTTTTGTACATGTATTACTATCTGTAATGTTGAATTAATATACTGTATGAATCACTTCTGTAGAATTTAAATGCCAATAAATGCATTTAACATTTGACAAAACTATTCATCTTTTTAGCAAGTGTTTAGCATAATATAGACACAATGGTTGGTGTTGACTTTTTTTCAATTACAATTGTATTATATTGTATTATAACTGTCTCATTATTATCCTTTTGGTTTTGCAGTCTTTTATAAAAGAGGTACACACTCATCAGAAGGTTAAAATTGATTTTTACTGGGTTTTGTGATACAAAGAGTTGTGAAGAACATTTGGCATTGGTTATTTTACGTGAGAGTGAGCCTTGAATAAAATTCAGGTCCCTTTTCTATTCTCAAAAAATTAATTTATCAGTATGATTCGGCTATCCATATTGGTTTGTTTTTTAAGAATTAATAGAGTCCGCTAAGCTTGGAAAGAGCAAAGTATTGGTTACACTGCCTTTGTTAAGAACAAAGATCATTTATCCTTCAGAAACATTTAGTAGAATTTAATATTTTGCTAGGCAAAAAATACGTCACAATAATATTAGTGTGTAAAAGTACGTACACATGAACATTTTGAAAGGAATGTGTCACATTACATGCTGGAAACCCAGCAAGCATATTTATCATACGGACAAGGTACAAATTAGATTTTGCAACAGATATAATTTGTTGCCTAGCAACCAGAGCTTGTTGCCCAATGCGTCTGCAGGTCTCCTAGCGTGACAGTCTATGGATATTACTGTAAGTGAACAGGGCAGCTCAGCACAGCTATATTTTAGAAGAGGCAGTTTTCTAAACAAAAATAGTAGTTTCTCTCATTCATTTTCTTGTAAAAAAGTTATCAAAATTAATAATCAGAGAGATTAAATATATGAAGAGGGCATTATTATTTTTTTAAAAGCTGAAGTTAAAGATTTTGTTAAAGTAAACTGTTTATCTCTAAAGGTGAATAGAAAACATACTGTACCTGAACACAGAGATACTATGCAGTGGTAATGTTAAGGAAACAGATCACTGAATAATGCAATTATTTTCAAAGATGCAGACCTCTGTGTGACCACAACTGTGACAATGATGTTACAAAGCCTCTGTATACAAAATTATACTGTTGTTTTCCTTGTACAATAGTGAA